ATTCGTTACTACGGCGGGACGTGACCTAATTTTCGACGTAGATTGCAACTCACCTACATAAGTCCTCACGAGTCTGTCTAACCCTTGGGAGCCATAATGAAGGGTAAAAAGTCCCCCCCCACCACCAAAAAAAAACCCGATACAAACCAGAGATAGCAAATGTAACACAATCCAATATGGCGTACAGCCGGTGAAGGAACAACGCCGTCTTCCTCATATAGCACCGAGTGAAGACGTATTATATTATGGGGATAGCGTCGTAACAACGAAACGGCGTACGTCGGGTCCGACGTAACCCGAAGACCTTTTGTATTTGCTTAAGTTGCCGAAATCCTTGAAAAGAATATTGTGATCACGTGGTACACTCAAGCCGATAAAAGAACAAACTTTTTTATTAGATACTTAGCGCGGGGCTTAAAAAGCAAATTACCCGAAATTTCTTATGAAATCATTGGCATGAATTAGTATAATTTTTTGAAGTTTTTTCGAGACATTATCTACTATATATACCGCGAAATAGGGTAAATAGGGCCCTAAAATCTGGTAGGTGTTCATCCTCCTATTATCGCCCCCTCCTCCACAGCTACCGCGATTCATCTGCTGCGAGGGTCAGCCATCTTGGACCCCAAGGCCCGCGCTATAGCGTTGGACAACTGTACCTATGTTTTTTAAAAGCTTTATGGTAATTGCTTTTAAAAACGTTAAAAAATTATCAGAGGTACGCTATTATCCAGGGACTCATTTGTCTAAGGACGCAAATGTCGAGGGACGTAAGTGTCTGGTACGCAATTGTCCTGGGTGCAAATGTCCTTGGTGCAATTGTCCTGGGTGCAAATGTCCTGGGTGCAAATGTCCTGGGTGCAATTGTCCTGGGTGCAAATGTCCTGGGTGCAATTGTCCTGAGTGCAAATGTCCTGGGTGCAAATGTCCTGAGTGCAAATTCCCTGCACGCAACTCTCCTAGAACTAATATTGTGTTAGCCCTAAATGCAGATTCTGTGATAAATATCCAGAAACAATTGGCCATCTTGCATCAGGTTGCACGATATTGGCACCCATTTAATATAAAACTTGGCATGATTGCTTAAGCACTAAAAATATGTAAATTTAGAGAAAGAAAACTGCAAGAAACTGGTGTGAACATCACTCAACCCCGGTTACAGAGAGAGGATATGTAACCATTTTATGGGACTTTACAATACACACAGACAGAACAATCAAAATTAATCGCCGACACATCGTGATTAGGGTCCACGAAAACAAAATGTCCCTTATTATTTATATGGCAGTCCCTGAGGACTCTAATGTATTTTTGAAATTCTTCAAAAAATATCAAACTACAAGGATCTTGAAATCGAAATCTAAAAATAAATGTGGCAGATGGCAAGATTAGTAAGTCTAGTTGTAGTTTGAGGACTTGGATTGACGGGAAAAGGTTCCGATAGACTCGTTGACATGGATTCCTGGTAGTCCAAGCCTAAAGGAAATACAAAAAAATTGTACTCACAAGTACAGCCCACACATTACAAAGGGCTTTATCTATATAAAATGTTTGCGATGTTAGTTTGTTTTTTGAGTTTTTTAGTTTTTTTTTTCTCCTCAAAAAATGCTCAGTAGATAATGTCATAAAGCTATTGGGCTTCTGACTTGGACCCAAAATGAAATGTGCATACATCAGAAATCTAAGGAAATAATAATAATAATAATAATAATAATAATAATAATAATAATAATAATATTGGCACCCACTGAATATAAAACCCAGCATGACAGAGTGGGCCAATATCTGCACTGGAAAATATGCAACTTCTACGGGAAGAAAACTGAAAGAAAATGGTATGAACACCACCCAGATCCGGTTACGGAGATAGGACCTGTTACAATTCTATGGGACTACACAATACACACTGAGAGAACAATCAAGGCCAACCGGCCAGATATTGTTATTAAAGACTACAAACAAAAACTGTGCCTCCTTATTGATATGGCAGTCCCTGCTGATTGCAATGTATCTTTGAAGATATTCAAAAAGCTGTCAAAGTACAAGGACCTTGAAATAGAAATCTCGAAAATGTGACATATGGGAACATCAACAATCCCTGTTATAGTTGGAGCCCTAGGACTGGTTGGAAAAGATTACAGTAGACTAATGGAAGGGATTCCTGGAAGTCCATGCCTCAAGGATATACAAAAAATTGTTCTGACAAGTACAGCCCACACTTTACGAAGGGCTTTATCTGTGTAATTTTTTTTTTTTTTTTTGTCAGTGGAAAGTGTCATGATGCCATTTCTAACCTGTCCCTGGGCGGGACCCGGAAAGAAATGTGTAAACGCCAGAAATCAAAGAAAATAATAATAATAATAATAGTAATAATAATAGTATAGACCTGGAACGACATAGTGGTCCAATATCTGTACTGGAATATTTACAACTTCTACGGGAAGGAAACTGAAAGAAATTGGTATGAACACCACCCAGACCCGGTTACGCAGATAGGACC